CACCCACACAGTCCCTGCCACTCCCACAGTCCCCCACCCCCACATCCCTGCTTATCTGGGACAGAGCCTAGGTCTATCCACCACTGCATGTGCCTTGCGCCGCTTTTTCCCAGTGTGGGATTTAGGATTTCATTGATACTAGGATTTCCTGGTATCAAAATGAGTCCGTGCGGAACATTTTTTCATTCCTAGTGTACCTACTGTGGCATCTCAAACTGCTTTGAAGCACAGCAACAGGCACGTGCTCACTCATCTGGAGGTGGCCATATAGTAGATTGATGGGCAATACAAGAATAGTGTTGTCATTCATCAAATGTTAAATATCCGATTCCTATAAAAACAGCATGCACATTGAGATTAATACAGGCTAATTCTAGAGTCACAAAATAGGTACACTCACCACTCCCCGGCACAGCTGCTTATACGTGTATTGGGGGCAAGAAAATAGCATCAGTGCATTTTAGTTTCCTCATTTTTCTGTAGATTTCCTTCTCAGTGATAGTAAGAGAAGTTAACAGGAAAATTAGTTAGCCTGGCAGGAACTATAAATCAAAATGATTTTTTACATGGAGACTTTTTTCAGACGGCAGGCCTCCCATTCTTATTAGCAGTGGTGACATTTCTGTTCACCAAAACCACTGCAAGCCAAACCTATAAACAAAAGCCGGTACTACATACTTTAAAAACCCCTTTAAACTGCTTGGTGTCAACTGAAAGTATTGACGTTCTTTAAATAATGAATGAAAAGTCTGCTGAGATGCTGGTCTAACACCAGACACAAACCAAAGTGCTTTTGTGAGCAAAGCTTGTCCTGCCTAGTAACAGTTGCTAGGTAGGAGATTGTTTTAAGACAGCAAAAGGTCAGATAATGAAGCTTTTCTCATCATCTGTCTGCATCATGGGATTGAGCTCCTCAGCATTTGTGTTCCTAACCTGCAGGCGAATCTTTTAGATACCCTAAAAAATAATGGTGGATGATTCTATGTTTTTACTGACCAGCACATTTTCTGTGGAAGAAGTAAACCTTCTTTTACTGGCAAGAATGAGGCCTGATTTTATTTCAACTAGAATATAATTCTGACATTTGAGTAACTTCCTTAATTAGATAAAACTACTTGAATACAGCCATGATTAGGAATCCAGATTTAAACTCTTTTGTTTGCTGTGCCGTTTGTTCAAAAATTATACCACCACCTCCTAGTCCTGCCACCTTTGAACGGATTCGGGAATATAAGCCTTACAAAACACGGTTTTATACGCACCGGGATATATTGGGTAAGTTTGTTTCCAAATTGTTCATTTGTAATTCTAGAACCAGGAATATGCAAATTGTAGCTCTCTACACCTACTCTCAACATTCACAAGACATTTACAGCTTAAGTCTGATGGCCTTTCTTGTTGCTCAGAGAAAAATATACTTATGAATACATATACAGGCAGTCCTCAGACTTATGACACAAATGGTTCCTGAAAACCGCGTCTTAAGTCATAACGTTGTAACTCGAAACCAATTTTCTCATAAGAAACAATGTTATTATGGGGGATTGGTTCCTGAGCGAAGGCCCCATACCCTATTTTCACTAGAAATACCCCAGAATTTTGTGCTCGATCAATTATAGATGAGTAATATCGCTACATTAATGTATTTATATTGTAAATAGTAATCATCTTGATTTGGAAGGACTTCTTTGAGGTGACTTTGCTGGACTCTTCGAAAGGCTCTTGGTTGGACTTTTTGAAGCGTTCTTGGCTGGAGTCTTCTCAGGAGCCTTGACTGCAGGTTTTTCTGGAGTCTTGTCTGCTTTCTTAAAGAAAATGTCCAAGGAAGTTTGAACAGATGTTCGCTGGTGTGGCTTGGCATCAGATCAAGCATTGTAAAGTCTAAACTGATGTCAGAAAGTTGAAAGGGTGTCAATTTATAAACATTGTAACCGTGAAACGTTGTAACTTGAAGCATTGTAAGTCGAGGGCTGCCTGTAAATACGCTACAACAAATAACTATTTTTCTCAAGTAAACAGCAGTAACTGAAGGTGTTTAAGATCTGCCCACTATAAAGAACAAGAGAAAGCTACCTTTGAACATATGTGAAAATTGTTGGTAAGGCTCAAGTGGATGGAGAAGAATCATATTTGGATCATACTGTCCTTTCACCTTGCAGAGGGATCCACTCAGGATCCTTTATACCTACACAAATCTTAGTGGAGTCTGCTTTTAAATCTTTGTTCTGTATCTGGACACCTTAATACCTTGATAGCTTGAGAGAAAAATAATAACTGTGTTAGAGACTACCTCATGATGACTATGGACACCGTGGTCACAATGATGTCGAGTATAACTGTTTTCAATTAATATTTAAACAAAGTTACAAGCTTTGCTATGGAAAGTTCATAAGCAAGATTCTGCCAGAATAACTCAAGATAGTACTGTACTCCCACATAAGTCTCTCTCTAAATTTCTAATTAAATTATCCATAATACTTCAATAATCATTTAAAAATTGGAAGAAAATATATGTTAATTTGTTAGTATTAATAGCAAGAGTTAGAAATATACCAATAAATTAAGCTGGTATATGCCCTATTGTTGTAAATATCCTGAATAGTGATTTTATATATCATAGGAGTTATGCTTCCTATATTTAATCATGACTTACAAAAAGTAATTGCATAAAGCTTGGTGTACTTATTTTTTAAACTAATACGAAGACTTATTTCAAGTATCAAGTATGTGTTCAGTGCTCTACAGAAGCTGTGGGTGATACAGACATTAAGACATTTTAAGGAGTGTCTTAAAATACTCTGTTTTGAAGTATTTTCCTCTCCTTTTCTTTTTAAATTAATCTATTACTGAATTTATTCACTCTTTTAATTTTCTTTATTTTCCTGATGTAAATTAATTCTCTCTCAGAAAAAATTTTAGGAATAGATCCATAAAAGATTTGAGACCACATTTATTTGACTGAGGTGGGGAAAATGTCTAAATTTGTAACCTCCTGATACTGTCACAGTGTGCGCCTAAGGTATCTCACCATGGCTCCAGAGGTGTGAGCTCAAGCTCTGCTCTGGATTTGTATCTGGTTGCCCCAGTCAATGCAATGGTAAATGAATACCTGCTTGTTTGGGCTGGGAAATGAAAGTAGCTTCATGTGATAATTCCTTTTCTTCTATTTTCATTAAGATCTAATGATCTTTCAGTTGTTGAAGCACTTGCCTAGGAAGTGAGAGACCTGGATTCAGGGCTACTTTCAGTTTGAGAGGTTTCACATGCTGTCACCTCCAGGAGAGTCTCCTAACCACTGCATTTTTTACCTGTCCAGAACATGGGTGGTGATGTTTTGGAGTTGTAGATATATTTATCCTGTTCAGTGTAAAATGCATAAGCAGTCATGGGAACAAGAACCAGATCTCAGATTCCTCCCTTCTGGATGAGTGCCATAGCCAGTGGGCTATAGACTCATGGTCCTCTTTCTAGCCCAATTAATCTGGGATTATTTTCTGAACAGCTGCACAGCTTCAGTTCTGCTTAAGTGTTGCTGTAGGCATTGAAGTCCTTTACTGGATCAAGACCTAAGCCCTTGAGTTTAAAGCACTGCATATACCATGGCACTTATAGCACTATGTATAATTACATGTATGTGATAATAAGTGAACTGAGGATTCATGTTTGTGTACCATTTCTATTTGAACAGTGAATAAAGCAAAGGGTCAGAAACAGTTTACACTTTTCTTTATACATGTAGCATGTTGTTCATGATCCATTTCTGTCATGCACATAGAAATTGGAGCAGAGCTTCAGCAACAACAACATGAAAAAAAGGAGTTAGAAATACAAGAACGGCTTGAAAAACTGAAGAAGGACCTCCGGCTCGCGGTAAATAAAGTTATACCACTATCAGTCCAGGTTGATGAGTCCTTTCAAGTCTTTTGAATGTTTATCATAATGTGGTTATTATGGATGAAGTCCTTTGAGCTCAAATCACATAGTCTTGATTGAATCATTTCATTTTTGGAGTTTGTGTGTTTTAACCAACTCCAAATGCCTATTTATATAATTGGCAATAATGGATGTTTATACACATGATCTGGGAGTGGGGGAGGGAGGTGAACTTCAATTAGAGCAGCTCTGAGAGTCACTCTAATTAAAGTGCCTGAAGTATCTTGTGCATCAGCAACCCTGCACTTAAAGATGGCGGTACGGTCGCTTTAACTAAAGCTCGTTCAATGAGTCTTTTAGACGCTGGAGTCTTTTGGAAAGCAGTAATTAGCACGCTCCAGGAGACTCAATTAACTGAGCCTGCTCCAATGCAGCGTGCTCCAAAGCAGTGTTATTACAGCACATTGGAGCAGCCTTGCTGTTTGTGTATAGGCACCCAATAAGTCCATAACGGGTGTCAAACTCATCTGGCTCCACAGGCCAGAGGAAGGTCCCTGACAGTCATCTGGCCTGACAGTCAGGGCCAGATGGGGACCAACCCCACCATGTTGCATGCCACATCTATGGCACCAGGTTCAGCTGGAATGATACATACAGTATGTGCCAGCCTCACTCCAGGGCTTGCCTTACATGTGGTGTGGGCTGGACCCGGAGCTGCAAACAGCATAGGGGCTGAGCCAGAGCATGGGCTGCAATGTAGTGCTGTACCAGACTGGCCCTGTGCTGGCTCCAGTGCCAGTCCAGATGGGGTCCCAGGTCACCCATGCACAGTGGAGCCCATGTGCAGGGCTGTGGCGAGTTGCTGTATGCAGCCAATGCCCTGGATGGATCCCGTGTGCTGCATGCAGCGCTGGGTCAGCCCATGTGCCACATGCAGAGCGTGGGCTGGGACTGGCATCTGCCTCATATAGCTTGGAGGGTCAGTCCAGAAACCTGCAGGCCTGATTGTACGGCTCCACTGAGTGGATCTGACCCATGGGCCATATGTTTGACATCCCTAGTCTAAAATTGTTGCTGCACAAATAGCAAGTCCTGCCCCAAACAGTCAAAAGCAAAACTCCCACTAATTCCACTGCAGCTAAGAGTAAGCTGTGCATTCATAAACTGCTTTTTGTGCATGCTCAACAAGGCACATTTCTAAAAATATTCCAACACTTGTATGTTAACATTATGAAGAGTAAGTTTATATCTGCTTAAATACTTGTATCTGAAATGCACTGTGGCCACAGTATCAGCATTTGCCAGCTTTTGTCCACGCTGTACTATGTGAGATACTGGGAGTGCCCTATAACTTAAAATACATCATGGCTGTATTATCTTAACTCCACTATATGGGTAGTAGTGTTAACAAATAACATTTTGACAGTGATCACTGTATGTCAGTTTTTGAAAGAACAATGACTAATTTTGTCCAATGGGACAAACTCACAAGGCATTTCATCATCTTTATTTCAAATTATTGCACTCTATTTTTTAAATGGAAAACAATAGAGTTATTGATGATAACTGGTCCTTGTCCTTTAGCTAACTGTTTGAATTATGACCTTTCTTAAAGGCTGAGATACAAAAAGAAGATGCACTGGAAAAAGCCCTTGAGGGAGCAGCAGATGAACACAATGAATTTGTAGAATACCTTAAAAAAAGGCACGAACAGGAATTAAAGGTTGGGAGTCATTACTTTTGTTTTTAATATACCAAATATTTTACTGTAGAAATGTACAAGTGTGTAACTGATTTATTTTATTAACTATATATATACAGGGTGTCTAGTATATGGGCAAATGGTCAAATTAAAGTGAGTTACTAGCCAGGACACAGAGGACTTACTATGGTTTAACTTTTATTTACCATGGGGTAAACATGACCAGGCAGTTAGTGCACGTCAGTTATTACAGAGTAAGTCCCCAGCATCCTGTTAACATACTTTGACCATCTGCCGATGCCCTTACTGCATGTTAAAAAAAAAGGATTTATGTTTCTGTATGCCCTTCTTCTCAGTTCAGCTGGGGTCTGACATCTGCTGTTGGGTGAGAGAATTTGCCTTGGACTATTGGGTTTAGACTTGTACTAAATTATTTGGTTCTGCCTGGACACATACTTGGGCTTTTTTGGTGGGGAGGAGGACCAGGTGGGATTTTTGGGTAGTGTTTTGTACTTTTCTTTTTATTGTATGAAATCTGGTTGCTTTCTAACAGATGTGCAGTAGGGCACCAGTTTAGAAAACCACTTTAAAATCATATGATTAAATCATTTTTGCAGTCAGCACAACAGTTAAACATGGGCTCAGTTTTAAGTACAGTTTTACATTCTATTGTCATGGAAGCTCAGGTGTTTAACTTGTTTGTTGAGCTGGGGCCTAAGTGAGTTAAAAGAGGAAACATCTGAAAGTATGTTACTATACAAACATTTATAAATTGAACAGGAAAACTGCAATATTTTATTGTATAGAAACTCGATTTCATTTATGCGTGTCGCTATTGACCCAAGTTCCAAAGACAAATATTAATATAAAGGGAAACAACTACAAACAGTGATTAAGTTTCTACAACATCCTGTTCTATATTCTATAAGTATATTCTGTGTATTCTATTTGTTTTATATATTGATGCTATTAGTCCTTAAACTATTGTCAGCACTGTAGTACCTGCACACCTCCAGCTAACATATTAAGCAGCATTACTCTCACACACACACTGCTATATACCTATATACAGAAGGTCAAAGAAATCATCCTGGTATTTGGAATAGAAAGTGGTGAGATTTACAACAGCCCTCAGTTCCTCTGGGAATTTATTCTGTAGTCCTGGGCTGTGCTCCAAGATGTCTCTTGCTTTTGCAAAATCTCAGAATTCCTAATATTTGACAATTCATTCATTTGCCATCAGTTTAAGTATTTTTGATAGACCTTAATGTACAAGACAAGATGAGCTGTTTTATACAATGAGTTATGGCTGTTTTCTTTCAGTGATTTATTGAAATGCTGTTTTCCCTCTGAGCTTTATAGGTGTGGGGGCTTAATGAGAGATTAAAAAATACTTTGTTGCCCACTATTTAAAACTACTTTTAAGGAAACAGAGTTGCAAACAAGAAAAGTTATGAAGCAGTATCTGGAAGATGAATTGAAGAGGGAATCTGAAGCTGCAGAACAGCGCATGGCTCACAAACTTCAACGCGTCCAGATGGAATGTGCTCTGGAAAAGATGCAAGCTGTAGCTGAAGCCAGAAGACAGGAAAGGGAGTCTGCACTGAAAGAAATGGCCAAACAGCAAAAGTATTCTTGACATTTTCTATAGTTCAGCAGTTTGTTCATTTTTATAAAGATAAACAAAAATGTATGCCTCAAGTTACTAAAACACTCTGTGTAGGGTTTTCTATGGTGTCCATTGTCAAAACAACTAAACACTAATATTCTAATAGCACATTCTATCTCTAGAATGGACACAAAGCATACAGATGGATATATAACTAAGGACAATGATGTGAAGACATACATGTTTCTCAGGCACCAAGGACAGAATGATATTTCACCTAGTGGACAATCAGGCCGCATCCAGACGAACGTGGCCATTTGTTTCCCCAGGGACAAGCAGCAGCAGCATACCTTGTATCACTGCTACTTGTCCAAGGGGAATGCCTATGCCATGCACACTCTGGAGCATGGCAGGTTACCCCAGGTGGGATAGAGGAGGCTGGGGCCAGCAACTGTGCTGACCCCAGCAGCCTTACCTAAGGTACTGGGAGCCTCAGGGAGCTGCAACACTCCTGCAGCTGGGAGCCTGATCAGCAGCCGGAGCGTGGCTCTGGCTGGACAGGCTCTGGTTTTGGGCAGCACACACTGCTGCCACATGTGCCACCCCACTTTTTTTGGTGTGGATTTTTTGACCCTGGGAGATCACTGTTTTTTGGAGTGGGATCTTCTGGGGTCAACCCGCCACCCCCCGCCCATACTACAAGGTATCAGTGTGAGGCATGCCTGCATGTGCAGTGTGTGGTGCCACAGACGGGTCTGCTGCACTACATACCGCACGTCCATGCCTGCCTGGATGCAGCCCCAAAGTTCAGCTTGCAATCAATTCTGAGTTACCTGACTAAAGTGTAGAAGCAATTCTGTTACCCACTCTGGGACTATAAATGGCCATTTAGAATTTTAGTCTTACTATTGTCTTGCTGATTTCATGTAAATTCACTTAATTTAGAAGTACAACAGTATTTTGCTTCTAATTGCCAGTACCACAAACTTATTGTAGGGTCTGAAAGTTAAGGGGTTTTCTCGTGGTACACAGATCACCACTAGAAATTAATTTTACAAGCCAGCTCAGCCCTCAGTTACATTTGTGCAAAACCCATTTTCTTCATTTGAATTAAATGGAATTTGACAGGTGAAAGTGAGGGCAAATTCTGCCTTTACTTAATTAAGCTAATATTGACTCATCATAATATCGTGTTCCTTCTCCAATGATATGAGAATAGTAAAATTTACTTTTGTCACCAAAACCAACAGAAATAACTCTGACAGTTCAGAGCACAGATCTGTTATGACAGAATGTTCCCTTCTCAACAGGTTTTCCAAATAGAGCCACATTTTGTTATGCTATATTATTTAAAATTTTCATTTTCACTATGAAAACAAGGCCCCATCCCGTAGAACTTTCTTATGCAGATAGCACCTCCACACCAATGTAGCTACCCTCTTCTGATTCTCCTGAGCAAAATGCCTATGTAGCCTACTGAATATTAAAAGTTCTCCATAAAGTAGAACAGGCAATAGACACAAAAATGTTGTCTGCTGTACAAAGGAGAATATTTCCCCCTTAAAGACTTTTTGATTCTGCTTATTCCTATCATTCTTCTACTTTGTGTTATAATTTTACTTGTATTTGTAGTTGCATAAGACACATTAGCATTGCACAGTGCTAAAGTACTTATTTTTCTTTAACAATCTTCAATAATATATCTTTTTTTATAGAAAGCACATGGAGCAGCTCCATGAAGCTAAGATATTGGCTAAAGAAGTGTATCAGAAGAAGTTTGATCAATTAACAAAAGAAAAACAGTATGAAATGAATATTGCTTTGGACATATCACAAAAGGAGAATCAGGAGAACACTGAAAAGCAGCTCAGAGAAGCAAAAGCAGAACATCAGCTTAAACTAGAAGAAACAATGCTCGAACAGAAAGAAACAGAAGCTCAAATACAGACTCTGAACCAACAACTAGAAAACATGACAGTTTGGAAAAACAGCCTGGAAGCTGAAATAGCAGACACAAGACAAGCTTTTCAGAAATATATTGATGTTACGTTTCCTCAGTTGTCTCCAGGACAAGCAGATTTTATCCTGCCATTCCGAAAGACAACTGATTACACTGATCAAGAAAAGGGAGCTAAGCCTTGTGACGAAGAATCTAAGGCCTCTCATAAGATGGGTGTAAGATTTACTGTAACGACAGGGCAGTATCACAAGTAGGGAATGATGAAGAATAAAGACATTTCTGTGCACTGCATGATAACTGTGTGGTTGTAGGAAAAGCCAAAAAGAAAAGTAAGCATTGCTATTATTGAATGACTAATGGATGAGCCAAACTCAGGAATGATTCATGAATAGTCATTCCCACAAATAATATAGCTAAGATTGCACCTTAACTTATAATCACTTATTTTTACTTATGTATACATTCACAAAAATTGTTCTTTTTAAGCTTTAAATGTCATACTGTTCATTTCATACTTTTAAGTGGTAAGAAAATCTATTCAGCTACTTTTTGTGATCAAGAAAAGTTTAATTTTACTCAGATGAGTGCAGACACACTTTAAGAAGTGCAAGAGAATAAAAACAAGTGCATCTTGGGCATGGATTGCTGAAGGGACAAGTGCTTGCATTTCTCAGTCATGTGCTCTTCTGCCTGAAAATGTGCAGAATTCTCCTGAAGTGGAGCTCCACTGAGCTGTTGCTTGCTGGCATTTCTGGGTTTGGGTCCAGAGCTGTTGTGTTTTGTTGTACTCTCTCTAGAGTCTGAGGGTGTCCAGCTGAAAGCTGGTACTTCTCAAAGCAGCTTTATCATCCTCAGATGTTTCCACTACAAAGCCAGGTGGCAGTCAGTCAAAGAGAGACTGCTTCAGGCCACTAAAACGTATGGACTGGAGAAGTGGTGGTAAGGTCAGTTAGGTGCTTCATAGATCACCTACACACATTTATAGATCTTGGGAAATCTCTAGATTTGATAGCTCACACACAACTGGTGGCCCACAGGCCACATGTGACCTACAAGGAGTTAAGTTGCAACCCCTGGGCTCCTGCTTGGCCACTGCTCCCCCCATGGTTCTGGCTCCAGCAGCAGCTGAAGTCTCTGGGCTCCTACTCCCTCCTCTGGCTGCCATTTCCTGCTTCCACCCCAGGGAGTGGGGCAGTTTGGTATGCTGTGCAGTGAGTTGAGGGTGAGTCCGGGGCTGCATAAAGAGGTTGAAAATCAGGGCCACACTGGAGGCCAAGATCATGCCCCCACAGTGCAGCACTTGTGGGGACACCAAGTGCAGTGGTGAGAAGGTGCCCAGTGCAGAGGGTGTGCAGAGAGGATCTATAAAATAACAGAATGGTAGAAAGAAGGACCGGAAGGGACCTATAAGATCATCAAGTCTGGTCCCATGGTCCATGTGGCACACAGCTTCATGGACCATGGCTTGCTCAGTACAGTTTGTGTTGCATATGGCTCTTGGGGTGTGTAGCCCTCAAGGGCTTGGAAGTTGTACAGCCCTGACCTAACACTCTGTTCCTTTCTGTTCCTGATGAAAGGAGGCAATTCTCCCAATCAACACTCAGTTTCCTGTCCATAATATCAAAACACCCTCATATGGCCCCAATTGCATTTGTGCATACATGCAACTCCAAAATGGCTCTCAACTTTAAAACACTGGATTGCACACATCTTATTCTCAGTTCGGAATAATCACTTAGCTAAGTCCGATTTTTTTCTGTCTATGGATAGTGCTAGCCTCCTATGTTGCTTCCACTACTAAAGTATCCATTCACCTGTATCTTGTAACCCATCACAGATTTGCTTCTGCATGTACACAATATAGAAATTCCATTAGGGTTTTCTTTCTGCAGTACTCTGGAAAAATTATGCAATTTTTCATCTCAGCTGAAATGTTGATTTTTCATAGTCATAGGCCATGTGGACCTGGGCCTCTTTAGCCTAAAGAAGAGAAGATTGAGAGGGAACTTGATAGTGGCTTGCCACCATATCAGAGAATTGCATCAGGAGCCTGGTGAACAACTGTTCACTAAGGTACCCCTGGGGAAGACCAGGACCAATGGATACAAGCTCCTGGAAGGCCACTTCCGGCTTAATACCAGGAAGAACTCCTTCCCAGTCAGGGTGTCCAGACTGTGGAATAAACTCCCTCCAGAGGTGGTGTAATCACCTACCCTGGAGGTTTTCAAGAGGAGACTAGACAGTCACCTTGCTAGGGTCACCTAACCCCAGTTGTCCTCCTGCCTAGAGCAGGGGGGCTGGACCCAATGATCTGCAAGGTCCCTTCCAGACCCTAACAATCTATGAATCTATGTAGATGAAACAAGATCGGTACTAATTTGCTCTGAACTGAATTACCAAATAGATTATGAAATGTTTTTGTTTGAAAAACTAGTAAAGGTTGGATACTTTCAATGTAAGTATGTAACCCAGATGGCAGCCCAATAGTTGCCACCCTGCCCAATATCAGGGATGGTGTGGTGAGAGTGAGGCAGGGCTTCCGGCCAGCACCAATTTACTTTCCAGCCGGCCCCTGCTCCCCACAGCACCCCGTGGTCCCAAGAAGGTCTAACACTTAACTGATTTAACTATTTGCACTTTATTTACAAAACAAGAATAATAGGAAAGGTTATTTA